TAATAATAATAATAATAATAATAATAATAATAATAAAAATAGATTTGATATTAATTTTTAAAAAATAAATTAAAATTATAATAATAATAGTTTTGATATTGATTTTTAAAAAATAAATTAAAATTATAATAATAATAATTTATAGATTATTTAAAAAGAATAGTATTAATAATAAATTTAGAATTTATCTTTTTCATCTTTTTTTTAGAATAATTAAAGTTAAGTAAATATATATAATATATAATTTTTTCATATAATATTTATTTATATAAATTTTATTATATTTTTGATATATAGAATTAAATTAAGAAAATTTTTTAAAATAATTTAATATTATATAAAACAATTCTTCTTTTAAAAATATGTAATAATAATGTAAATAATAGCAAGACAATAATAAATATAATATTTCTATATAATCTAGAAAATCAGATATTTAAAAATTAAATAAAAATATTTCTGACATAAATACAAAATAATAATAACAAGAATAAAGTTTATAATTTAATACAAATTAAAATATTGATATTAGTATTAATTCATCTATAAATAGTGCAACTAGAGTATAAATGTAAATACAATATTAAAATAAAATTAATGAAATTAAATAAACAGAAATCTAAAAATGGAATACAATGATTAGTATGCATAATTCAATAGAAAAATAAGGAAACGTTTCATAAGAAGCTAGCCTTTTTTTAAATTAAATAAAAGTTTAAAGTGAAGAATATAAATAGAATTTATAAAATACCGGAAATATATTATAATAATAAAACAATAAAAATATTACTAATAATAATACTTTAAATACTTTTTAAAAAATACAAAAAAAACCTTAATTATAAATTGATGTAGAAAAGATTGAATAAACTTATTAAAATTAAATTAATTAAAATAAAAATGTTAATAATTAAAATAATAATATTAAATAATAATAAAAAAATAATTCTTATAATTATACTTCTTCTACACCTAATTCTTCTAGTATAGCTCCTCCTTCTTTACCTATATTAAATTTTATGAAAATAAAAGAACATACAGATAATGAATAATATTTAAAAAGTTCTTAAGAATTAAAATCTATTTTCGACTTGAATCCTTTCGGGTAGTACTTTGATGAAGACGGAAAATAGGTTATTAAAGAAATATTATAATAGGAATCTATAAATAGGATTTTTTAAACTAGAGAATAAGTATTGGAGAAAAGAAAAGATGTTTAAGAATAATATATAAATAAAATGTTAGAAAATAAGAAGATTTCTCAAACAAGTTTTTAGAGGAAAAAAATAGAGTTGGAAAAATGGGTTTAATAGGAGAAAGTTAATATAGAAAAAAATAGATTAAAAATAAAAAGGACGATTATTAGTACAGAAGAGACTATTAAAAAAACTTATAGAGATTTAGAGTTTATGAAAATGATATAGGAAAGTAATAATACTAAAAAAAATTTAAATGAGGATATTTCATAAAAATTTAAAATTAAAAAAATAACTCTAAAGAATATATTAATAATAATTCCTTTTTACCAAATAATAATATTAATAATAGCTTAGATATTTTATTTTAAGAAGATGATTTATAAAGTTAGAAGTCTTTTAAGGAAAATCATCTTAAATTGTTAGAATAATAAAATAAATTATCGAAAATAAATAATTAAAGGTCAATAGAGAAAAATTTGGAAACTTAAGAAAATATAGAATATGAAAATTAGTGTAATAATAGTCATTATTCTTATTATAATAATGATAAAATTAATCGAAAAGAAATAGCAAATTCTATTATAAATCACTAAGATAAAAATAAATTAGATGAATATATAGAAAAAGATAAAGTTTAGAATAATAATTTATAAAATTATATAGATAATGAGTAATAATAATTTATTAAGTTATCTGAAATCATAAAAAATAACAAAGATAATAGAAAATAATAATTATAAAAAAATAATCCTGACTTTGAAAATTAATATAAAAGAGTTAAAAATAATAGATAAATTGAAAATGAAACATAACATATATTTTAAATAAATAATAATAGTTAAATAGTAAATAATAATATAGTAGAAATTATAAATAAATAGGACAATTAAATTAATAAAAAATAAAATAAAAATACTAATAATTCTAAAATAGATGAAACTTCAGAAACGATTTTAGATATTTTAACTTAAGAATTAGCATAAGGTTAATTTTTAATTTTAAATAAATTAAAAAAAATAGATATTTAAAATTCGAAAATAAGTCAAAAAATAATAATTAAAAAAGAGGAAAAAAAAAATACATAAAAAAAAAATATACTGATAATAATTATAATTAAAATATTACAAGTAAATATTTTTAAAATATATAAATAATAAATATAATATATATAAAATATAAATAAATATTTATTAATATGTATATTATATATATATTTATTTACATATATATCTATAGACCTATAAAAATAAACTTATTAAACAATAAAAACAAATCTAAATTCAGTTAAATAATACATAACTAATATAAATGAAATAATAATATAAAATGAGCAAATAAAAAATAAAATTATTTATAATATAAATACTTAGTTAGGTCCTTAGCCTTTAGAAATGTTAGAATTATTACATTTTTGTGAATCTTCTAAAGATTAAATAGATAATTTAGAAGATTCTATTCTTTAGATTTCTCCTATATTAAATAGTTCTTTATTTATAGAATTAGAATAAAGAAATTCTTTATTAGTAGATAATTAAAACAAGGATGACTTTGTAAAATAAATCGAAAGAATTCACAATAAAGCTATTTTTGAAGCTTTTAACGAGGCTTTAGATTATTAAAGAGTTTATGGTTTGAGAGGGAAACCATTCCCATGGAAAACCACTTCTGAAAAAATTTCATAAAAAGATGTTTAAATATAAAAAATAGATGGCGTATTAAATAAAGGACTAGAAAAGGTTACTGAATGGGCTTCTTATTTATGTGGTATTATATTTGATAAAGAAGATCCACTATTATCAAAAGGATTTAATATAGATGAAGATTATTTAGCTTAAATTAAAGAAGATAGACTTGCTAGAATGCTTGCTTCTGAAGTATTACTTATTTATATATATTTTTTAATTTTATTTTTTTATATAAAAGGTTATTGAAAACGAAGAAAGATGGATACTTTATGATGAAGAATAAACTGAAGTTTAAGTTGAATTAAGCTAGATGGTTTTTAATTAATTAGTAAATGAGGTTTATTATGAATTATTTATTATAAATTAAAAAAAATGAATTTTATTTAAATTTTTTATACTTTAATTATTTATTTATAAATATATATATAATTAATTTATTTGTTTCTTTAAATAAATTAAAAAAAATAAAAAAATGTTAAAATATATTAACTTTTTGGAGGAAAATAAAATTAATTTTTTTTTTTTTTTTTAAAATAAAAAAATATTGAATTTATATAAATAATTATTTTTATTAATTTTAAAATAATATTATATATATAAATGATTATACGATAAAGTTTAAATAATTAATTATTATATATTTTTTTTTATTTTTTCAATTAAAAATTATCTTTAAAAAAAATGGATTGATTGGCCTTTTTTATTTAAATTGAGTTTTATAATAAATTAAACATATTTTTTAAAAATTTGCTTTATAAAAATTATATTAAAATAAATATTTAAATAAAAAATTTTATATACTTTAATATATTAAAGAGAATAAGTTTTTATTTATTATAAAAATTATAGTTTATATTATTTATTTACAAGTAAGAAACTTCTTAAGATATAAAAAATAAATAAATATAACAAAAATAAACAAACGAAATCAATAATAATATTTAGTTCCTTTACTGAATTCAATAATTTTGTTATTAAAAAAGTAGTACAAACTTTCACTATTGATAAAGCAGTACCAACTGTAGCCCAAGTACTTATAGGACAATAAAAGAAGGTATTTGCTTTTAATTAAATTGCTTAAGTTGTTATATGTAATCTTTTTTAGTTGTACATTTAATCGCTTAATTACCTTTTCATATAAGTATTGATTAGACAACCAATCTTAAAGCTGTTATATGAATTTAAAGTTTATCAATAAGGAAACAATAGCCAAAAAATACTAGTTGGAATCAAATAAGAGTAGATAAACATTAAATTTTTATAGTTTTTTGCTAAAAAATATATTATTTTTTAATTAATATTTATAACATTTATATTGTTTTATATTTTTGATAAAAAAAGAAAATTTAATATATAAATAAATAATAATATTTATTCATTTATACTAAAATTAATTTTTATTGTCTTTTAATAAACATATTAAATAACAAAAAAAAATATTTTTTTTTTGAAAAAAATTTAATGGATTAAGAATACTAATTATTTGCATAAAACTGGTTTTAGTATTTTGATTTTCAATTTTTATTATTAGGAGTTTCATATTTTTTATTTTGTTATAAAATTATATAATTATTAATTAAATTAATGCAAAATACTAAAACACATTAAAGTGATAAATTATTCTTTAAATCTATATATTATAAAGGATTTCAGTATTTTGTATTTCCGAAATTAAAAAAAATAAAATTATTTATTTTTCCTTTTATGTGTAAACTATAGAAAATATTAATAAATAAAATAAAACATAAAAATTATTACTTAATAATAAATTATTTAACCTTAAGTAATTTAATACTATAGAATAAAATAAGTAATTATAATAACTTTTAAGGCCTTAATAAACACACTAGAATATATTTCTGTTATAGTTCTTAAAAACTCAATTAAAAGAAGAAAAAAAAATATAGAATAAATAAAAAAAAACAATATAAAAAAAATATGTAAATTTAAATAAGAAAATCAAAAAAATCAAAATTAAAAGACTATTATATATAAATATACATATAAAATAATCGTATTTAAATAAAAAATATTTATTTAAAATAATTATAAAATAAATCTATATAAATTATAAAATATATTTTTTAAAAAGTTAAGATATAACTTAAATATAAAAATTCTTTTAATTAGTTCTAAAATTTTTTTAAAATTAATTAATTTTCCGTAAAAAGAATTATAAATATATTTAATAAGCTAACATTTTTCAAAAATAATTATTTAAAAAATTAACATTTTTTTAAAAAATAAATAATAATTTTTCTTTTCGTAAATAAAAAAATCTTTATTAGAATTATTAATATAACAATATATTTATTTGAAAATAAAATCATTAAAAAAAAAACAAAAACAAAATTTACAATAAATAATCAAATAAAATAAAATATCAAAATAAAAATAAAATAAAGTAATAATAAGATATAAAGATAAAAAAAAAAAAAATTCTAATACTAAAAAAAAAGAAAAAATATATTTAAACAGATTAAAAAATTATAAAAAAATTAAATATTTTTTATAATTATTATGAAGAAAAAAACGTAAAAATTTCAAATAAAAATAATAAAACCATTTTTTTAAATTTATATATATTCAATATAAAACATTGAAATTATAATATGGCTTTGTTAAAAAATTATTTGTATAAAAAATATTTATTTTATGTATAGAAATATAATTAGTTTTGTATATATTAAATAATTTATTATTTATTTAATATATATCAAAGATTTATATTCTTTTATTTTTATTTATATAAACAAAAAAGATTGCTTATATTAAATAACTTATTTTATATATATTTTAAAAAGAATTTTTTTTTTTTGAAAATTTATGTATTTAATTGTCAAATTTTTTAATATTATAAAAAAACAAATTATTATTTAAAATCACAACAATAAATAAGCAAATAAAAATGCAAAACCAGCATATAAAGCTGCGCCAAAAGTAGCAACACAATCTTCAGCTTTAGTTCCTTTACCAGCGGCTACAGCTGTTTTATCAGGACAAGGAGTACAAGCAGTTCCAGCGGCGACATCAGCAGTAGCAGCAGCTTTCCAGGTGTTAGCAGGGCAATCAGAGCAAACTACTGCACCAGCGGCAACAGTTTAACCAGCAGGGCATATAACAGCTTAAATTACTCCAAATAAAAACAAAGAGACTAAGCAAATATTATAGATATTCATTTAATTTTAAAAGTATTTTTTAATGTATTTTTTTTTTATTAATAATTATGAAAAAATATAAAAAATTATTTAGTATATATAGCAAAATAATTATATTTAAAGTTAAATATATTATAAGATAATTAAATTTGTATATAATTTTATTTTGCTTTTTGATAAAATATAAAAATAAAATTTAAAATTACGCATATCAATTTTTATATTAAATATTATTTTATTTTTTATGTCAATATATTACATATTTTAGCATATATATGAATTACGTGTATATATTTTAATATATAATAAAATAATCTACTAAGTTTTATGTTTATAATAAAAAAATTTTAATATTAATTTTTTAAAAATAATAAAAAAAAATTAAATTTAAATTTAAATATAGTTTTTATTATTAAAAAAATTAATTTTTAGTAGTAAAAAAAGAAGAAAAATAATACATTATTGAAATATGAGAATTAAAAAAAAATATATATAAAATAAATAATATTTATTAAATAGTTTTATTTAAATATAAATATAATTTATATTAATAATTTAAAAATAAATATAATTAAAATATATTTAAATTTTTTTATCATTTCTTTTATAATATAAAAATAAGTTATTTTTATTATATATTAAGAGAAGATATCAATGAATTATTTATAATCTAAATATAATATTTTCTTTTATAATATTAATTATAAATTTAATATTAGTTACAATAAAAAATAAAATTATTTTAAGAATGTTTTTTATTTTAATACATTTAAATTTAAAATGTTTTTGAAATTATTTAGAATTATTTTTTCCTTTATTTAATTTAATATAAAAATAATAGGTTTTTATGTTAAAATATATTCTTTTATTAATTATATTATAATATATATATATTTAATATTATTTTATTGTTTTTTTTATAAATTTTCTAATAAAAATGGTCATTCTGATTAATCAATAATTTAAATATTTTTATTTTAATTTTTTATTTATTTATACATACAAAGATTATTTATTTTTTTATATATCTAATATCTTTTTATATTAAATAAAATAAAATAGCTATTTAATAAAATAGATTATGATTTATTTTTATTATAATTAATCCTATATTATCTTTTATTTATTTTATCATGCCTATAACCTTTTTTTAAAATCTCAGAATATTTCTTTTAAAAAAAATAATTATCATAAATTTTATTTTTAATATTAATTATATCAATTAAAAATTAATTTTTAGGTTAAAAAATAATTATATCAAAATCAAATTAATTATAAAAAATGCTTGAAAATTAAATTTTAAAATAAAATAATATATATTTTTTTCTTATGAATTTATTTTCATAATGATATTTTGCATTAATTTCTAATTTTTTTGAGGCTAATATCATTAAATGTTTTCAACTAATTAAAAAAATATTCTTTAAATTATATTAAATTTTTTGAAATTATTTTTTAGTTTTAATAAAATAAATTTGTATTATTTTATTTTTTATACAATAAATAATAAAAATTTATCTATAGCAACAAATTAAATTTTTTTTTATTACTTATAAAGTTTCAATATAAAAAAATGGAATGCTTGTTTTTATATTTTTCTTTAATTATTATTTTAATACTCATTATCAAAAAAAAAGGCTTTTTATAATAGATAATTACTTTTTTTTGATGTTTAAAAAAATAGAAAAATAATAATAATAATAATAGGAATTAATAATATATTTAAATGATTCATAATTTTAATTATTTTATGTTCTTTTAATATTTCATATATATTATTAATCGTATTAAAATAATCTTAAAATAATTAGTACTTTTTTAATTACTCATTTATTTATATTTGAAATGAATAGAACATAAATATAAATTAAAATTTAAACAAAATAATATAATTAAATAATATAATATTAATAAATCTAAGATCAAGATAAAATTTTAAAAATTAATTATATTTCATTTAAATATAATATAAAGAAAACAATTAAATTAAATTATTATTAATATTATAAAAACTATTTTTTTTTTTAATTTATAATTCTTATTTTTTATCAATAATATTTATTTATATATCAATAATTAAAAATGTGAAATATTTTTCTCTAATTAATTTAAAATTTGATAAATAATAATTGCAATTTTGCACAGTTTATAAAAATAAAACTTCCGATTCTGATTATGCAGTTACATATTAATAGCTAGTTGCAAAATTTATAGCTTTTTCTGAAGGTAAATTTAAAAATTATAGAATTTACTGCTAATTGTCTTGATATTTACGAAATTACGAGTAGTGCAGTACTTCTATTATTTGAAATAAAAACTAATATTATAAAAATAATAATGCTGATGATAAACTTATATTACAAAATTAATAATATTGATTATACTGATATCGATTGCTTTGTAAATTGTTCTCTAAAATGATTAAAGTAATGTGTTTTACTACTTTTAATGATGGAAAAGTAAGAATATAGATGCAAACACAGGAACTATTAATAATTTTGATTTTGTTTAACCGTTCAGTGCTGCTAATTTTAGTTTATTTATTATTATGATAATAATTTTCAGAATAAAAAAAATAAAAATATTTTTGTATTTTTTTTTT